GGAAATTACATTTTAAACAAGAACATCAAACATAAAATGGCCTTTCCAAAGAAACAAGCTAAAAAAAAAACTAATGTACTGATAATTAAACAATGTGTAAGAATATGAACTAAATTTCTGTATTGATTTTTTTAGAGATGTTTTACCTGTATTTGGAATTGCACTGCGTTGTGTTGGGTTGTATAGAGTTAACAGAAATGTCAGTGAATTTATGGATAATGATGTGGCAGGAAATAAGCATATGTATATACATAATTAAGCGATTAATTATTATTGAAAATGTTTGTTTTAATATTGAAATTGTCACTTTTTATGTTAGAGAATTAATAGGTTTATAATGTAATTTTTGTTTTGGTAAATCATGAAAAGATGATAAAAATGTACAGTATATACATATAGTATATATATAGTATATATATATACTATATATACTATACTATATATATAGTATATATATATAGTATATATATATACTATATATATATCAGAATCTATTACATTTAACTAAATTGCATTTAAACGAGATTAGATTAAATCCAATTTGAGAAATATATAACTTCAAACTGAAATACTGTCATTTGGTAAGTGGTATAATTTCAGTGCTTCTGTTCAATTATTAACAGTTGAATCCCTGAATTGAAACATTTCATGCATAATGCAGCAGTATCCACCTTATTTTTCTCGTAAGAGCGGGCGCAGCCATTTGTAAACTTAATGTGTCTGGCTTCCGGTGTCACTCGCTTCCAGCTATTTTTAGTTATACAAAACACCTCATTTTGTGGCTTGATATTTCAAATTGGTGTGTCTTACCATATTATTTTAATGTATTATTTTCATTATGAACACACTGGTTTGTAGTGCAAACCGTTTTACCGTTTACTGCACTTTGTTATTCTTCTCGTTATTTCCCCTCAGTGGTTAATGAACCGGAAGTCTCGCACATTGACAGAAAACGGCTTACTTCCGCATTGAAAAATAAGGTGGATAGGACATGACTGACAATCTACCTAATGACTCGCTTCTGTACTTTAAATTAGATTAAATCACATGAAGGAGTCAGCTGGACCCTTTCTGAGGACAGACCATTCTATAATCTACGAGGACAACAGGCCAAAAATAGTAATATTCTATCTTTTTTCTTGAATATACAAATAATATATAATTCCTAACAGACTAAATGGAGGAATAATCATAAGAAGGAGAAAAGTGGGAAAGCACACTCATTTTAACAGAGAAACTATCCTGAACTGATAAGCCATGATATGGCAGATGTGCATGAGCAGTGTGTGTGTTATAAGCTGTATGGGTGAAGGGAACCAAGGCAACACTGTATGAGGAAGTAAATGTTCCAGCTGAGCACCACGCCTACTGGCTTATGTAACCTCAGCTACCCTGAACATTCTTACACGTCGTGCATGGAGCACCCTGACTTATCATAAATAGTCTGCAAGAGCTGATCATGTACAGCAAGACAGCTGCAGGACAGGATGAATTCTCTGCCCTCTCTTACTCTGTTGCATGACAGCATGTCTTGTATTTTTTTTACATACGGTCTTTAACTTGCAGTGTTGCAGTGCAGTACAAAGAGAGCAAACATTTCATGATAAGATAGCTTGTATTCAATACAGAGTCAACATTAGGGTCTAACTTTTCAGGGTCACTAAGTGCTTTTTCTTCGCTGACTGTTTGCTGACACACCTCTACACTTTCTGCAGGCTCTGTTTCCTGTGTCAGATAGAGGAAGGGGTTGCACTTCAGCCTTGCTCTGCACAAAGAGCTTGATAGGAAATATATCAGTGCAGAGACAAACATTGTGACCTTACATCAGCAGTCTGAAGGTCGTTATATAAGCATCTGGATTAGTTAAAGTGCCTTAAATAAGTGTGCTTTCTTCATACATTTTATATAATCAATTTTATATAACATTTAGATATAATGTATATGGAAAAAACATGGAAGCCTGCTTCTGCTCAGAGTAATATATATATATATATATATATATATATATATATATATATATATATATATATATA